AATTGGAACTTTGAAAGTTATTGAATGTTTGATTTTTTTGATTACATTGATTTCCATTCCATCCAAACGTATTTCTTGATTGAACTTGATTGACGTCCTAGTAAGTTGGTGGGATCATGGTCTGATTACTGAATTGTTGTTGCCTTTGCCAATTCCAACAATTAGCTGTTAAGTGCTTTCCTCCGCAAAATGTATATTGACGCATCATTTGTGAGGGTGAAGGGTATTTTGTTACCAAATGATCGTGGCCCTTACAATTACTGCACCATACATTGGTCATAGTATTAATAGGCTTTTACCTCTTCTCCTTATCCTTGGCCATATTGACAGCTATTTCGTCGATTTTCTTTATTAGGTTCAATAACAAGGTTTCATTGGAAACTTTTAAAGCTGATATTATTGGTTACTCTATCGCAGTTAATGATTGTTGTTGATACAAAAAATATGAAACATACGCTATTGTCACGTTCGGTGGTAGAGCTTGCAATGGAATAATATTAGTTGGCCTTTGAATATTGGCACTGGAATTGGCCCCTTTCTCTAACATCCATGGATAATTACTCACTCATCCGTTCCAAGTCAGATTTTGATAACTGCCTTGAACTAGAATCATTGTAGCTCCAGCAGTTAAAAACTGATCATAATGGCATTCTTCCCAAATCTTGGCTCTATTAAGGGATGCAGACACCGTATTTGATTGAGCTTCCTTAACAAAAATTTTTAACTCTGGTGGGTGCAAACCATTGACTAATATGGATAAGATAAATGCCTCCAGTATTTGGTGATTCGGCCACTTATTCAATATATCAACCATCCGACTATAATACGATTCCACTACCTCCTTTAGGAATATTTTTTTATTCATTAACTTCTTTCGAAGACGATCTTCAAAACCTATTGATTGAAAATGGGTTAAAAATACATTCTTCAATGCTTTCCGATTTAAAAATTGACCCATTAGATGGCAGTTGTACCACTCAAACACTATGTCCTTTAAGGTTGCTGGCAACCATTGTAATCAAATATCTTTGGTTCTTCCATTATTAGCTACACATGCTATCAGAAACTGAGAAAAATGTTGATCAAGATCCGTACCCAGAAAATCCCTAAAAGTAGGTAATGGAGCCACGCTGGTTGTATGATCACCCATGTCACCTATTTGGACTGCTATTAGAACTGCTAGACCACTCGCTGTCATTGAAGAGGACAATGTGCTGCTTAATCTCTTATTAAAATTACCACTGCCTACTCCAATTGTCTTTTCTGGATTTTCTAATCTCCTCAATTTATTATTATTATCCTTGAATAAATTTATCGATTGAATTAGAGGTGAAAATAATAGATTTTGAAATACGCTAAATTGGTCCTTATTGGCAAGTAATTTATGTCATTCTACGAAACCAATTTTTACAGAATTGACAGTTTCTACTATTGAAAAAGTACCCAATAGAGTACCCAATTCTTCTATATTTCGTCCACTTGCAGTTAATGAATTTAAGAAATACATAGGATTGTTGACAAAATTTCTTGTGAGTGCTTTTGGAAATTTTCTTAACAATATATATGTCTGAAATATTAAAGATTGGTTAGCTTTTGGATATGCTTGGATATGTCGACATGCATGCAACCATGGCTTAATCTAACTTTGTCAACGCTTCTTTTTTAACTTGCATTCTTGCTTGTTTTGCAACAATTTTCTTGCTTGCGCTCTCTCTTGTCTTTCTTTCAACTAGTGTGATTTCTTTGTTGCAATGTTCTCATTCTTAATAACCATAATCTTTCATTATATATTGCTGAATTTGCTTCTTATTTTCCATCTATTCATCTGGTAGTTAATTCCTAACATTCAATGCTATTGTTAATCCCTGGCAGCGGCGCCAAAACATAATTATCATTTTACTTATTCTACAAATTCCTTTCAAAATAAACCTATAGAAGGGGATTCAAACTCACGGAAAGACTAAGCGCATGAGCCTACAAGTTAAGATCACTCAATTAATCGTAATCCGAACCACTAAAACATTGAGAAATACTACAATGCTTCTTTTCAATAATAATACTCCTTCATCAATTGATAACGATAATGTGCAATCCTGCACTCTCAAAAGACTGCTCAAAACACATAAATTCCATCCAACACCAGGAATAACAGACTTCACTCCAACTAATCTGGATTCACAAAATTTTTGTAATCACCAACTTCCTTTGTTACAACACATACACAACTCTTGATAAACAACAATCATAATCTTCCATCCATAATCAATCTTTCAATAACTTCTCATATAATTCAATCACTCAGTATTCCAACTACATAATCAATAATCCATAAATCAATCTTTGATTTATTTCACAAACTCACTTCTTAGTATTCAGAAACTATCCATTACTCTTCAACAACAAAGAAAATAAAATAAACAAAGAGGTAGCACGAAGCTTACCCCGACTCATGACTATTATAGTCTGGACCTTAGACTAACTTCTATAACTCCTATATACTTACTTCCTATTCTCACATTCTAACCATAATTCTGTAATAATCACTTTTAATAACTAAGTTAATCATGTGTCCTCCTGAATTGACTATTCTATGGACTATTAGTCTATTTTACCAATATCTTACAAAAACAAACTAATATCTATTCTACAAGGCCCTTAATACTTTTAAGTTTGAATTTAAAATGTAAAAGAATTTTCAATCTTTTTCCATTAAAGATACAAACCAAGAGAGAGTACTTCTAAATAGAAGTGTATCTATGAATCCAACTTAAGTAAATCCATAAAAATATTGATAAAAATACAACCTTAGATAGAACTTGACTTAGTATAGGAATCTTCAAAATTATAATCTTATTTTATCAAACTTCTCTAATATACTTATTTTGCATCTTTCATACTTATAGTAGCAAGTTTCTTTAGATTCAATTATAAGTTTAATCTACTTGCTTCTTTCAACTACACAACTTCTTAATATAAACTTTAAACTTAATTCTTAACTTCTTTCAAAGATGTAGGAATGGTATTTCTATAGTTGATGTTAGTAATAAATAAAATTTCCATCATAAGAGTATTGACAAGCTTTTAAAGATCTATAATAGTTACAAATATATCCTTATTTTTGTTGAATTTAGCATCTATAATTCTTTCTTCCGTAATAGAAAAATTTATGAAATAAACATGTCAAATTAGAAGAAGGTAATCTGAAATCTCTAATATCAAATAAAAATTTCTACAAAGAAGGATAATCTAATTTTTTTAAGAAAAAGATAAATATTAAAAGACAAAAAGTGTTAGTTTAAAGACAAATAGTCTGCAACAATTAAAATACAAGTAAAGACATCAATTAATATATTTATTTTTAAAACAAAATAAGAACAATAAATTAGCTCTCTTTTCAAACTATCAAGGGCATAAATCACAAATAATAAAAACCTTAATATATTCACATTTCATTCAAAAAGAATATAAAATCATTCAAAAATGTTATAATATTAAAAACAAAATAATATTTTCATAGAGAAGAGAACTAGAAACTCTTGAAACAAGAACAATAATAAAAAAAGGCATTGATAAGAATGAAGAAGGCTTCACTCTTTCCTCCATATATATTATCTAGCAAGGAATTGTGTGGCAACATTTTATAAGACCTCCAATATGTGTCCAACCTATAAGACATGTATCTAACTTGCAAGACAAGTTTTATATATGAGTATGATATAGACAATTTGTTGGCAAGGTTTTTAATCTAAAAATTAACTACAAACATGTCTAAAGTCAAATCCATATCTATGAAGCTTCTAAGAAGCTAGGCCACAAGATATTATCAAATCTACTTGTATTAATTTTCTACCTAATATTTTTTATCTAGATAAATATGTATGTCTATGATACTTTATAGAACATACAATATATATATATATATATATATATATATATATATATACACATAAATGAGACAAATAATAATAATAATAATAATTAAAAGTGATTGGAAGTCAATAATTAGAAGTTAATAATAAGGTAGCATACAAATTTTTAGATAAGTCTATATTTACAAGTCCTTAATATTTTATATACACAATCTTAAGTGTAAGTGTTGCAAGAATTAATTGTAAATAATATGGTATCTAAAAATAATTTTACATACTTTAAGAATGTTTTAGAAGCCATAATAAGTATTAATGATAAAGAAGCAAAATTTAGAAGATGCTTAAGTCACAAACAAGTTAAGTAGGAGAATATAACTAATTTAACATCAACACATCATATTAAAATTATTTTATTGCAATCCTAGAGATATTAATTCTATAAAGAATATTATAAAAAACTATTATTATAATGGAGGAATTTAAAAAGTTGATAAATTGACTAAAAATAAAAGTTTATAACTTCTCTTCTTTAATATAAATATATATTAGATTAGAAGAAAATCATATAATTTATTAGCAAAAAAGAATGAAATGAATAATCATATAAAAAATTATTAGAAATTAATGGTATCAAAGCCTATCCAATATACATCCAAAATAAAACATAAATTTTCCTGATTTAAATATAATCTGAGACAAATACTACAATGCCACCCTGGAACTCTCTTCAAAATAGGTGCTCAAAATTACCTGAACATTCACCAAAGCTCTCACGACACACGCCTCACAAGTTGTTTTGAGTTGCTCGTTGAATCTTAATAAAAACAGAGTTAAAACAACTCCTCATTGAAGACTTCAACACAATTCTTCCAATGCCCTTTCTGATGCATACAATACAGATTTTCCCCAATATAAAGCAATTGTTTCTCTTGTTCATATCCATGAGCTGAAATTAGGTGGTGCCTTTAGACTCTATGCATTGACAGATGAGAGATTTTGTTATTGATTACGTGTTAAGTGCATATACTCGATCAAAAGCAGATGTGAAAATTTGTAAATAAATTGGATAAGAGGCTGACACTTATCTCTTGAGAAAGACTTCAAAACGGAACTCAATGGCAAACTAGGGTATATGGCAATCCTCACCATGAAATTTCATAAAAATGATGCAAAAGCTAAGAGGCAACAAGGAACCCTTCATTAACTTTGTCTGAAGTCAAAACATTTAACGGTACAATTGCTCCAAATCCACCCACAATAAATCTATCCCGATCCATGCACAGTACATCTTGTTCCCAGCTTGAAATGTTAGCATATACTGCATCAACAATCTCATCTCCCTTACCGTCTTCTTCGTCTTCTTCGTCTTCTTCTTGTTCTTCTTCTTCTTCTTCTGTATCTCCTTCCTTGTTATCATCTGCTTCATCATCACTATCAAACTCCTCGTTGTCAGGAAGGATTGCTGGAAATTCGTCTTTCCATGGAATGGCCTGAGAGCTTTGAAAGTCCTCCAATTCTTCATTGTTAAAGGGTCCTTCTTCTTCTTCTTCTTCTTCTTTTTCTTCTCCTTCTGAAGTAGAAACTTCAGATTGAGCTTCTGGAGTATCATAAGCCCCTGGCTCTTCCATTGCTTCGGGATCCCATCCAGGCCCACACATGAACACACCAACTTTGTGAAGGTTTGCTTTATCCTTGCCGATACAGACCAGGAACAACCCGTATGGCTGAGAAAACCCTGGGACCTGATCTTGTGCTAGAAGAAGCAGATACACATGGAAAGACATGGTGCGCAACCTCTCGACACTGGTGTCACTCTTGATAGACATGATGAAAGTTGGAGAAGTGACGCTCAAAAAGCACAGCTCACCTTCATGGTCTTCATCAGAAACAGCCCATAGGAGTACAGAATAGTGTGGGCGATTCTGGATCTCGAGAATAAAGTGATTCATAAGATGATTTCGACCAGCTTGTCGACATTGCAAACAAGTGCTACAATTTTGCCTGTGTTCTGCAAACGGGACAGCCTTGGCTCGCAAGAAAGGGCATCGCAGCACTAGGCCCGGTTTACCAAGCCCTCCAACTTGGGCTATGGAGGTAAAATTATGAAACATAGGGAAGCTTTGAAGCCTCATATCCCCTAAAAGTTTTTGGCGAGAGAAGGTTGGTGCCCAGGACATGGAAGTGACAGGGCTACCATGATACTGAGCGAAACAAAGCAATAGGAGTAGCTGCTGGTGTTCATGGCTAGGGCTGCTGTTCAATAGACTCCGGGCCACGTCGAAGATTTGCTCCTCCAACCCCCTGCCAGTTCTGAGCTGAACTTTGCCCTCAACTTGGAGAAGCCCCAGGATAGACAAGAGTCTGTCTTCATCATGCTGCTCCGCGCAGTCCCGCATACTGATCTCCCGCACAACTAATGCTGCACGCTGCAGACTACGAAGTTCCTCATTGCAAGACAAAATAGTTCGCAAGCGGTACAATGGAGACTTGAATTCGGTCCAGAATGTCGGAGGCAGCCTGCCTGCTTCAATGGATTTATGGCTGCTCCGATCCATCAATTCAAAGTATTTTTCTCTCTCTACAAAATATACATGGCCTTTTTGCTGGTGACGGCAGTGCGGACACGGGAAGAGTTCCCTACTGTTAACTTGACGAAGAGACTCATAGCGGCTCACGAATTTAGTTTCAACTAGGGTATCCATGAGCTCGGCTGGCTGCCAGCTCAAGCCACTGGATCGGCAATAGGCCTTGTGCGCAAACATAGCAGTGCAGCCTTCCATGTCCATGCCCACGACAAAAACCAGCTTGTTTGGCAGCACAAATTCCTGCAAAGTCCATACCCGGGAAAACCAGCGCGGCAACGTGTAATACCGCGGAGGATCTGCCTGAGCCCAGAGCCGGAACCCCCCGCCCATGCCGTGACACCACACATAACATCCAGCACACCGAGCGTAGTACTCACCCATTCGCGCTATTTCTCTGTTCTTCTCGTCACCACTCTTCTGATTTATGCACAGCGCATCAAACCATACTCTCTGCACCCCATCAAGCGCCAGAATGCTCAGGAACTCCAGCAGGTCAGTGTAGCCTCTTTTCTTTGCAAAACTAACCTGCTTGAAGAGCTCAGCATAGGCATTTTTGTCACAGGTGACCTTCTTCTCTGCCATGGTGTTTGCAATCGCAACTGACCAGTTCCTCGCATCTTCTGTCCAAGTATGCGAGATTATGTGAAAACCCCAACTTTCAGGAACATCGAAGCATATCCCTCCATCACTTTCAAACGTCTCTTTAATGCATATCACCCTCAAAGGAAAACTAGCCTGCTCTCTATCATGACCTTGCGTTGCCATGGTGCAACAGAATGCTCAAGCAACTAATCGAGTTACTGCCTTAGTGTAGAAAGAAGAAGAAGCAGCAGAAGGAGAAGGAGAAGACGAACCTCAAATGCACTGTAGGAAACAGAGCTCACTAGTATCTTGCAGTACCGGGTTCCATTCGGCTCCACCATGATTCCTGCAAACTGCATCAGCACGCAAATTTCTCGCATGAGAGAAGCTGCACAACTTGGAATCTAAACTTTAGATCCTCCAAACCTGGTAAAACCTAAGCATGGAACCCACCTTCACTTTAAGGTCAACGTTTTGACTATAAAATTAAAATAAAAAAACTTCCTCATACATATGTTAATTTCATACCATCATTATTTTCTGTAATAACCAAATTATTATTACATACTATTATCTAATAGAGTGTAGAAAACTAATGTTATTTCATATTATTGATAGATACTATGTGCATTGTAAGACTATATATATGTAAATACGTATGAAACTAAGCATGTTTTTTAATATTTTAGAATTACATTAATGTATTATGTAGCATTACAAGAACTAATATAATTTGAATATTCATAAAAAATAATAACTACATTATACAACTATCAAATTTAATGAAATTTTGTAGTTTTATAACTAAAAATGGTAATAGAGGGGGTATATTTGTATATATGTATATATATGTATGTGTATATATATATATATATATATATATATATAAAAATTCAATTATAAGTTTTCCTATTGTAACTATTTGTCAATTTAAATTGAAGTTTTTTATATTTTAAAACCATTATTTATTTATTTAAATGTTGTGAACTTTGTTTGTTGTGAAGAAAGGTCTTCCTACTTCTGTTCTAAATTTGATTCTTATACACATGTTTTGCAATGATTTTTCAATTATATCTTAATTTTTAAAAACTGTGTCTGTAGTATATGTATATTCTAAATTTTAGTGGGGGTTTCTTTCTTTCTTTCTTTCGTTCTTTTTTTTCTTTCTGTATATTATATTTTTTTTAACTTTAATTATGATGTCATTTATTTGTGTGTTAAACATATGTATGTATATAGGTGTATGTATGTATATGTATGTATGTATATGTATGTATGTATGTATATATATGTATATATAATTTATTTGAAAGCTTACTTAAGTATGTTGTGATATTATTATTTATTTTTTGTTAAAAATTTAGTGTTAATTAAAATATTTTTTATGCATGGATTTCCTTATTTATTTATTTTAATTGTTTTATTGTATTTCTTAAATTATATAAATACGTATTTTATAAATATAGATGTATATATTCATGTTCAACTATATGAAAGGCTGCTTTTTGTGCACTTATTATGTCTAATTATTTTTTAATTTAATTGATGGTTAATACCCTACATCATTAAAACTTTTTCACCTTTATTTTTTTGTTTTTTATAACCCATTTTTGTTAATAAGTAATTTTATTTAGAAGTTTTATAATGTATTTTTAAAAATCACAAAGGTTAATAGTGATAGTTATTCTTGTTCTAATCATTCTCATTACTAAGTTAGATCTTTGAACAATATATATGCAGATATTTAGTTTTCTTCTTTCACTATGAAGTTAACTTAAAAGTTAACTTTTATTATACCAAAATAATATAACAACTTAATTGGTTTCTTTTATGTTGTTATGTTATTTTAGTATAATATTCAGGATTAGTTTTCTATTTTGGATTGTATGTGTACCTGTATAGAATTTTGATTTTTTTTAAATATAAATTTGTCTTAGTAGAAAGTTAGTATTTGTCAGTTGTACGAAATATTAATATTTTTTAGACGAGATTTATACAAGGTATTTGTTTTAATGATGGTTTAAATTGATTTTTTAGATTTTGTAGATTTTACAATAGATAATTATACAATAATCTACTGATTCATTGTATTTCTGGGAGTATTTGTTTTAAATATTTGGTATCCTTCTCGTTTTCTCGGGTGGTGCAGTGGTGTCGCAAGTGTAAGGCTGCTATTTGCTGAAGTGCCCTTCAGCCGCTGACGACATTGGAGTTCATGGTCCTGGTGCTGATGGAATCGTCAAGTGTGCGACGGTGTTGCTCTCGCCTTCTTGTTCGTGTTGGAGGTCTAGTGGCGTTGGTACTAGTTGCTGGACATGGACGATGCCGAGTTCCTGTTCTAAACGATTGTGGTTTCAAACGATCTGCTTCTCCTACTCCCGTTCGGAATCGGCTCCATGGTTTACTATTAGCTGCTGGTCTTGTCCATGTTTTTTTTTTAGGTTGCTAAGCTCCTACATTTTATAGTTGGAAACAGATAGTCAAGTAGCAGCTCGCCTAAGAGATGTTTGGTCAAAACTTTATATTCCTCTGTTGGATTGAAAGACGTTAGGCTGGAGTATCAATGACAATTCAAAGTAGTTCGCGTGATTCAATTCTACCATCAGGAGAGGGACCCTTTAGAGAATCATCTTATTCGCTAAATAAATGCATGGTCAACACCATCGAAGCTGACGATGAGAAAGTCGAAGTTAAAGGAGCGGACAACTGTTCTTCTTAAATCCGGAATTGTGTTATTTAAAGCAAAGAAGAGGCTATCGAGCTTCTTCGGAGCTTCAACGAAGCAAAGCCCTCAGTAAGATATTCTTCATGCGGGACCCGCCGCAATACCAGATAGCTAGAATTCTAATTTTGGGTGGCGAATAGTCCGTTTACATTGCCGATTCACATTCCAAATTTTTCAACGGCCGAATTGATGTGTATTTCACCCCTTATGTGGACTAGGACCTAACCCCTCCAAGAATTGATGTTTGAAAGAGCCCAAGACGAGGGTTGGGGTTCTGCATGATGCGAAGTTCGATGGCTTGTAAAGCGATGTTGTGAATTATTTTTAGAACTAGTGCGCCGCCTGCTCGAACGTTCCTCTTGTGTCGAATACATTGTTGTACGCCTTAAAATATTGTTGATCTCATGACATGGCTGATCCAATGACTCATTTAGCCATAAAAAACAAATACAAAAATACTTACATACATACAGATAACATACATACAAACTTGGAGCATCTCCACAGTTGAGACAAAAGATATAGCTCCCAATTGGCGTGGGGTGCAGTACCTCCCGTAAATTGGATGAGACTAGCCTATACATTCTGTAAGACTCGAATTTTTTTTCTGCTTTTCTTGTCAAACGTGACTAAGTTATACATTTAAAGACTTCCATTGCATTTGAATTGCATAAATATTATGCAATATATACATAACTAGTCCCGATACGGATATGCTATCGCAGTTACATGTTGCTGATGCAAATCCTAAAAGTTGTTCTGCGGCACTTCCTGTCCCAGGGATGTTCATGACAATGCGATTGAAGGGGAGTTCCCATTTTCTGGGGACGAGTACGCGTCGCTCTTGACATTGTAAGCTTGCTGCTACAGTAGTGTGCCAAACCATGATTTGTGAATTTTCATCTCAATTGTTACCACCACACAGACCATGGTCATTTGACGAAATGAATTGGCACTTCAACAGAGACCTCAGTGGTAACAAGTTTAATGGGTCCTTCCCGTATCTTCAAATCAAGAATATTGTGTTCCTTCAGATATTAAACATCGCCAGAAATGATTTTAAAGGGCCGATACCAGAACCTGCCCTGGAGAACATTACCCAGCTTGTCGAACTGTAAGAACCTGAATTCAAATATGTAACCCATAGACTCCCGTTTTCGAGTGAATTAATTCACCTAACTTAATCTCCTTGTCCCCATCGGCAATCTTAACATACTAGTCTCGGAAGGCTGAGGTTCGGTTCTGGATGCATGCAGGGATCTTTCTAGCAACGCTTTGAATGGAACTGCGCCTACTCTTAAAACGATTAAGAACCTCCAAGTATTGTGAGTGCCATTTCTATTTTCTGAGCTGTCTGGTTCTTGTAATCTATGGCAAACATTCACTCATATAATTATATTAGATGTATCCAAGGAATCGAATTGCATTTAGGGAGTTGAAGTTTGACGTCAAACTTTCAGAGTGCAAAAAAAACGATATATGACAAGGGTAGATGATCAATAGATGGTTTGTTGTGGTGGCAACCTCTCACTATTCTTGTGTGTGGGATTGACAGAGACTTGTCCAGTAACATGTTTACCGGGACACTGCCAGACCTGACAACGATGCATTCCTTACGCAGTGTGTAAGTTTCGAATGGTCATGATATGTATGTAGTAACTCACACGTATAAGCATAACTTTGAAGTTATGTTGCTAGATTGTCAATTTATTTATTAAAAAATAATCTTAAGGCAATGCAACACATGATATATCACAATTTTTCTTGCGAGAGATTCATATATTTGCCATTGGTCAGGCTCAGGAAGAACATGACATATGTTGAATTTAGAGCAACAGAGGATAAGATGCCCTGATTCCTGTATTTATGATGTCCACAGGAATTTGAGCAGGAATGCGTTCACAGGAGCGGTTTTGTTGTCGTCGTTTTTTAACAGAACTGAGAACAACAGTCTTTCAGTGTTGGATCTGTCGTTCAATCAACTGACAACCGATCCCAATTTTTGGAACATCTCGGAACTTGGCTCTCTTCAGGAACTGTAAGCTAAATTTACCAAGAGTTAAATTATAGAAATTTGGTGTCTAGATGAATTAATCGCGCACTTTGTATCATGCTTTGTTTATCATGCTGAAAATGCATGCCATTATATTTGTATTGGGTTGAATTGAAGATTTAAATTCCTGCAATGTAGTTGATCAAAATGCTGTGTGGAAGTGGCCTTACAAGATACTCGGCATTACAGGTATCTAGACAACAATCTCATTAATGGGACACTGAACATCAGTCAACTTCATGCCCTGGGCTTGCTCAGGACTAAAATTACAAACTCATCATCATCCACAAACTCAACATCAAGCGTTCTAAGAGTACTTTCATTGATGAACAACAACATTAGCAAGGTTATCTACGATGTGAATGATATCGCAAACACCGCCACAGTTATCAAGTGAGCAAGTCCTTGCGATTGATAGAGATTGATCCTATTAGGGAAACCAACGATCATCAATAGATCAGCTCGCATGAGAAAGAGTTGTAGAACAGTGGTAGATGGAACGAAAAATCAATCATTGGCTTTAAGTAGTTGTGTACTAATCATGCTGAAAAGTCTGCGCACGGAATTGCATAATTGGAATTCAATTCATGGCTAACATTGGTTACTGAATTCTTTTGTTGATTTTGTGCAGACTACAAGAGAATCCCTTCTGCAATTTTTCAGATCCCAATGACGGGACGAGATGTTTCTGTGAACAATTCTGCTCCATTTCAGGTCTTACTTCTCTCACTAGAGGTCAAATTAACATGTCATTCTCATGCTCTTGACAACTGTGCTTCAAAGAGTTTTTAAATTTTTTTAAATTTTTGTATATTGTTTCAGGTTCAACGGAAGATAGCAAACGTAAGATTGTGATAATCGCAGTGGTGGTCAGTGTAACATCACTGCTGATCCTCCTGGTCAGTCTGGCTGCTCTATTGTATAGAAACTCAAAGTACAAGCGATATCTCCAGCTTCAGGTCCAACAAAGTACGAATTTATCTGCACCTCGGGTAGTTCGAAGTATTGAACTTGGCATGCTGACTGTGGCTCACAACTTATTCAATTTAAAAATTTACAAGAGCAAATGTAACAGCTGAATAATTTCTTTTCTAGTTTGAGCATGGGCTTATAGAAACTGGATTATGTAGAGAAGCACTTACGTTTGTAATCACCTTAGGGTTTGAGGAGCTTGAGGTTAAACCAACTATATTCCACTACAGCGAGCTTCGAACTGCCACACGAGACTTCAATGCTGATTTGAAGTTGGGCGAGGGAGCCTTCGGGGCAGTGTACAAGGTACAATTTCAACAACATTGAGTAGACTTTGGAGATCTAAATGTTAATCTCTATGTCAATAGATTTGCCATGTGTATGTGCATCCCATGGTGTCAAGTGTCAAGTAGTAGACAATTGATTTTAATTATAATATAGATTGTTTCTAAAGAAATGACCCATGTTTTTTATTATTTGTAGGGTACATTGCCAAATGGAAATACAATGGCTATAAAACAACTATTTGCCAAGACTTCTAAAGGTGTAGATGAATTCTTAAATGAAGTTATTTTGCTAACTGGAATGAAGCATAGGAACCTTGTGAACTTAAAAGGTTGTTGTATTTGTGAGCAACAACAATTGTTGGTGTATGAGTATGTGGATAATAGTGAAGTTGATCAAGTTCTTCTAAGTAAGTTAATTTCTCAACTTTGTATTCTATTCTTCTATTTTTTTTTTTGAATTTTTACAAATAATATTTTTGGAACATTGAATTATGTAGCCTTGATTCTTTTTCAATTACTTAAAATGTATTCTTTGCTAGAATTAATCTAGAACTTCTTATAACACAATTTAATTTTTTAAAAATTCATAATTTTTTTTTTATCTAATAATATTATTGTTGTGATGCTACAACAAGTTCAAATAAGAATCTCTTAAATTGGCATGTATGGTTAAAGATTTGTTTAGGAGTGGCTCGTGGTTTACATTACCTCCATGCACTTGCACATCCAAAGATCATTCATCGTGATATTAAAGCTAGCAACATTTTAATAACCAAGTATTATGAAGCCAAGATAGCAGACTTTGGCTTGGCATTGTTTTTTCCTGATGAACAAAGTTACATATTGACTAAACATGTTGCTGGTACCAAGTAAGTTTAGTAGTTATTTCAAGTTGTAAAATTTTGGCTCAAAGCTTTTCACTTGCATTTGCCATTTTTTTTTGTTGTTAAAAAAGTATTTATTATAATACATATATATATATATATATATTATAGTTTATTTTATATAAATTTTTTAATTTAAATTTATAAGGTAACTATGGTATAAGTTATAAGATAAAATATTTTGATTTATTTATGTTCAATTTCTTAAGTACAATTGGATTTTATATGTGCATAGAAGATACTTAGCACCAAAACATACATCACTTGGTCAAATAAGTGATAATGTGGATGTGTTTAGCTTTAAAGTCTTATATTTGGAAAATATAAGTAGAAAAATAAATATTGATGAAAAATATGCTCTTGACAAAGTTTACTTAACTAAATGGATAAGGAATTTCTTTTTAATATGTATTTGTTTGGCATCTCTATTTTATTTTAAATGATAGTTTTAGTTAATGATAATTTTATTTTTTTATAATCAAAATTACTAGAAATAAAATTAAATATTTGTAAAATATAAAATATTTATTTAGAAATTTATATATAGCTTATTGTTTTGGTGATTATACAGACATGGAATTTATATCGGGAAGATAAATTAATAGACTTAATAGACAAAACAATGACTTTGAATGATGAAGAAAAAATGGAGGTTCATCGTTATTGTACAATAGTTGCTTATAGTATGTAAAAATTAATTAAAGCATATATTATTTTTGTAAGTCTCGATGTGGATTAGAATGGTTTGTAATTAAATTTAAAGAGAGTTGATATAAGAAAATTTATTTAAAGGTTTATCTGTTTTGATTATGGTGATTGTATTATGTAAGATTTAGATATTTAGTATAAAGCTTAAGAGAAGGTTGGAGTCTTAAGTTGAAAGTCTAAACTATTAGAAGGCTGCCTGAGGCCTTACTAGGAATTAGGGTTTTTCTTTTGAGGTCATTTTAGCTTTAGAAGCAAGGATCAGCATGTTTAGATTTTTGAATATAGTTTGGGTGCAAATTTTGCATAATTTGGAGTTTTTATAAAGGAGTTATTGGTGCTCAAAGTTAAGGTGTCAATTTTATACCTTCTATCTCTCTTTGGGGCATAACATATGCTTATGGAGAGCAACAAAGGATTGGCAATTATGATTGGAGAGAGCATTTTTTTGGCTACATGTTTCATATATTGTTTAATGAATTCTAAGTTTGAATGAAGGAGTTATAGGGCGTTGAAAGTAGCACATGTAATTCAAAGATAGTAAGTGAGTCGTTTTATTGATAGTAATGGTTGGAGCCATATCTTGAGTTTCTGGACGAAATTTTAGCTCAAAATTTCTACAAATGTGTGTTATTAGGTTAAAAAGCTATAAATTAATTTTTTTTGGTATTTGAGTACTTAGTTTGTGAGATATGAAGAAAATTTCATGCAAGTGTATGTAAGCAATGGTTTAAAGCTACTGCTAGGATTTTGGCAATATCTCAAGATCCGTAATGAATTTGTAGTTAAAATCTATTTTGGTACTTTTTGAAAATATAATAGTGCTTCATATAAAAATTTAGTTTTTTTGGATGTCCGATCATGAGATATGAATTATTGAAGTTTGGGAAAAAAATTTCATAAGAATAAATAAGATTTTAAAGTTATTTTATCATATATTTGGGTGTTTTTTTGTATTTAGACTTATATATTGATGTAATTGCCCTAAAAGGAAAACAATTATATATAAAATTTAATATCTTAGACTTAATTGAGAATTTAATAGCAGCCAAAAGTCCAACACTTTTTTGAAGCAAATTCTTTCTACTTTGAGATTGTGCAATCAATATTGCTTTGCTTTGTATCAAAAACGAAGCAGAGCAATGATCAAGCATGGAGCGAGTGGTGGCAATGTTGCAAGGACAAAGTGAATCAAAGGATGCGGTTCTAAAACCAAGAAGTGAAGAGAATTCATAGAGAATATCAAGTTGTTTGCTAATGGCAAAAGTAGCCTTGGCACTGTAAAGGAGGAAGATGAATTGCCATTTTTAAGTTCTTCAAGTCAAAGTAGATAATATTTAAGAGATGATTATTCTAGTGATGTTGTGCTTCAGCTTAGTGAAATAAGACTTAGATGATTCATCTATTTTAGTAATGTTTTATGAGTAGAATATAACTTCTTAAATTTTTAAAATATAAAATATAAAAATATAAAATAAACTAAATGAGTATTTTTAATGTAAAAAATATAATATTTATAAAAAGAGAAATTTGACACTATAAAAGATTTTCTTGAAATTTTTTTACTTTAACCAAATAAGAATAAATTATTAGAATAAGCATAATTTTGAATATGGTTACAAATGGCCTTGTTTAGAAGTATTTATATATATATATATGTATATATATATATATTTTTAAAAAATAAAAATAAACTAGAAAAATAGACTACAAAAAATTAACAATCAAAGAAGATTAAAAACTAATTTATTTTCAAAGATATTACATCTAATAAAAAAATAAAATTTAATGGTACTAAAAAAATAAAGTAATGTCTTTTATACCAATAATTAAAAAAAATTGGTGCATTTAGATAGAGTCAAGATTTACTTTCTTAATATTTAGAATACAAGATTAAAAAATTAAATCTAGTTGGATAATATTAAAGATAATAAAAATATTATTGCTCAATAAAAAATACAATATAGTATTAATATCTAATTAAGATAGAATACTTCTACAAATCAATATTAGCAATCATATTTACGTTTAAATTTTTATATTTAAGAAGTAATATTATCAATTTATTTTTGTTTTTGAAATCTATTTTATCCAAAATCTAAAATTTTAAATAAAATACCTTATAACATTTTGTTTTAAGTAAAGTACAAAAGTATAATTTTTAACTCTTAAATGTTTTTTAAAAAAATTAAATAAAATAATATTCTACTTATAGAACTAAAATTTTAAACACTTGCAAAATATTGTAGTACTCATATTTTAAATATTAGCATTACTATCCAATATTAAGAAGAATATTAGATTAAATACCAATAAAATAGAATTACTAAATAAATAATATAAGAATTGATAAAACTTGTGAAGGCTAAATGAGAAAAAATTATAAAAACTCGATAATTACATTAGTTGATTTTATTTAAAAATATCTCTTTTGTAATATTTTTTTTAATTTTTTAAAATAAAAAGTTATAAATCTATAATTTTGTCTTTAAAGAACTAACTTCTCAATATGTAAAATATGCCATATATATATCACAAATAGATTAATTCTAATAAGTTGCCTAATTTATTTGTAGATCCTATATTGTGTATTAAACAAGACATTTGCAATGATTGCAAGGGAGCCAAGGAGGCATAGCTCTCCCTTGCAATGGTTTTGCTTTCCTCTCAAAAGAAAATTTCAATTATAAACTTTGTTTGAACTATGTGATTTTGTAATGTTGATTTTTTTTTTTTTTCAAAATCCTTGTTTTGATTGCTAAGATTCTACTCAAATTGAGACTAAATCAGTATGTTGTTTGCTTTGAAAGATCCCATCCAAAGAATAATTACTTATTGATTAGAAATTGATAATATTTTTCTATTTTAAGATAAAAAAATTAAATTTCACACTTATAGTGTTAGCAAAGGTGGACACCAACTACCAAAGTACCAAAAAAGATGATTGAATCGGCCTTTGAAAGGACTCCATATATCAAGGAATGTTGTTGTGTAGGATAAGGAAAAAAAATTGAAGAATGCAAATAAACAAGTAAATTGTTTCTTAAAGAACATTTAAAAAAATAAAAAAATAAAGTAAATATGTATATTTAAGAAGAAACTAGAATAGCTATTGCCAAAAGATAAAAAAAAAAACAAAACAAAAAACAAAAAAAAAAAAACAAACAAAAAAACTAGAGACTCTTGAAACTAGATTCAAAATAAGAAAGGAATTGAAAATAATAAAGAAAGCCATAGTCTTGTCTCTCTCTCTCTCTCTCTATATATATATATATATATATATATGTATATATATACATTTATACGAATGAAATAGAATTAACCTCCTCTAATTAAGTTTTTATCCTAACCCACTCAAGAACCTAAATTAAATAATATTCTTTAAATCTAGTTTTAAAGTCTTTAATTTTAATTTAATCTCAATTGTGTATATATCTTAACAAACCTTAGTTGAATTTAGCAAGGTTGGACTTTGCAAGAAAAGTTTTTTTTCGGAAGAGAGTTCATACTCAACACAAAGCAACAAGTGTACTGGGAGTGCCAACAAGCCATTTTGTGAGAAGACAGTCTTCGAGAGACCAAGAAACCCCCAATCATTTATTCACACTTTGTATGATCAGGGCATGGGTGCAGAGGAATTGCTCCATCCTTGGGAGACAGACAGGTACAACTTCAACCATTATCTATAGACAACGGGTGGAGGAATATTTAGCTTGACAGTTGAGTTATGAATGTGATGGTCTTGATGCTTTTGCAAGACTTGTCCACCATTTGGACAGAGTTTCCTCTGGGCTCTTCCAGTTTGGCACCTGAGCATTTCACTTACATGGCACCATTGTTCAGCACCATGTAGTGGATGAAGAAGAACATTAGAAGACGCAATGACCAGTTTGTTCTCTTTTCCAAGCTTGTCTTGGGTTGGATGGATGGGGAAGATAGATTAATCTCTCGTGGTGCTCCACGGCCGGTCTGTTTCGGGAACAGTCGACTTGATCTTCTACTGTCTTGATGACAATGAGTGTCTGTGATTAATTTAGGCAGCTGCCGCAATTCAAACTCGCCCCCAAGCTGTTTTCAAAAGAAAAAAGAAAAAAACTTGTTCCCAGGCTTTCGTTTGGAAGGATGACAAAAGAACCATTGTTACCTTTGAGGACATACTAGAAAGCGTCTGCTCACTTCCCAAATCTTCAAACATATTATGCTTCCGGAGCAGTACCGCGATTTTGCTCGTCCGACATGAGGTGGATGTACAGCATTTCCTCCCTTCTCATAATGGCAATATCGTGGCTGAATTTGGCAGCATAAGTCATCACTTTATTCATGTCTTAATGATCTATTTGAGTTTGTCGTCGTTGAGAACATCAACATTGAGCCGCATGGAGAATGCTAAGTTTTACTACTCGTTTCTTAGGAAGATAGTGGGGTGGCATGTCGGCGGAGGCGGGTATTCATCAAATGCTTGGACTGGTTGGAGTTTGACAACCAAGTGCGGAAAATGATTATTCTTGGCTGAGGATCTGCCAATGAGTCACCAAAAGTTGGATGCATCCCTCTTTTTATACCTGTTGTCAAGAAGTGTACTGGCAATGTCTACCTGCAATTGAGGGTGAAGTGACTAGGTATATGAGATATTAGATAATTGAAACACATACACTAATACTTTAAGAAATTTCACCTCCAGCTTAACTTCTGTAATTTTGCATGGTTTAGCCTAACTTTAGCACGATTTCAAAGTGGTTGCAGAATGCAAGAGGTGGTGGTTGTGCTGCTAGACAAATGCGCCAACTTTGTGGGTGTCATATCTTGGTCTTCTGGGTACAAGTGTTGTCAAGATTCTAATTGAACTAAGCGGAATTCTCTTCATGATAGTAATTCATGTTTTGGTTTGAGTTCTGCTTGTTAGTTATGTAGTGTAGTAGGGGTAATGTTGAATGGTATCGTTGATTTAAATGAAAGCCACCTTGAGAATTAACCCCAACTTGTGAGCCTTACTGTGCAAGGGGCCAAAACTAAAAAGACTTGATTAGAGGGTATCATTACAAAGCTATAATTGGTATTCTTAAGGATGTTATGAGGATCGAAGTTCAACTTGTCTTCATTTTCTTCTCTTTCTTAATTCGGATACCACCAACCCCCCATGAATGCCTTCACTCCAGAACCACCTCAGTCCACTTTGGTTTTGCCTTGAGGAAGTTCTCCCTACGCATCCAACCCAACCCCACACGCTCAGCTACATCACCTGTCCACCTAATCAACATCACGTTGAAGAATGGCAGCTGGAGCTCATCATTTACCCCGCCCCGACTAAGTGGGACTAATCACGTGGGAACATCCCGTCCAATCAGCCCTTCTTGCTGCACGGGCTCGGAGCACTCCGACAGCACTATCAGCGAGTAAACACCACTAGCTGGATAGGCTCCGCGATCGAGACCCATACGTCCGATCTCAAACACATCCTGGTCTAAGAGCGCCACGAAGAGGGGAACGGGCAACGGCGGTTCGAGGTTTTCAAACTGAAAGTAGCCGGAGGACGCGGTGTACGCGGAGAAGCAGAGGCGGTGGTTTGGAGTAGGCTGGGGTAATATGGGTCTCTGTGTGGGAGAGCGAGGCTTCACCACTCTCCAGGGTCGAGCTGGGGGCTCATAGTTTTGTTCTTCCCAATTCTGCGGCTCGTTATCAAAGCAGACCATAGGTTTGATGATGTTATAGTTCATGCTAAAGTATCGTGATTTTCCAACCCATCCGGCCCACGACCAACTTGCGAACCCAGGGCGACGCGTAAGTGCCTGCTCAGGCGTCCAGAGTAAGGCCGTATCGAGGCGGTTTTTCGGTAAGCCCTGCGAAAAACCGGTCGCCAATGGAGTCTCGAATATCTTGGCCAGGCCCGCAAATGCGTTCAGCATGTCCGACAGGTACGTCATCTGACGAGCCGTATATTCACGTACCGCATTCTCATGCATGGTTAGATTGTCATGGTTCATTGCTGCAAACGAGCTGGCGTATGCAGAAGGATTCGCCTTCGAAGCCGCCAAGCGCCTCTCGAGCAGGGGTGTCATGTGGTTGGAGTAGTGCGGTGCAATGAAGCTGCCGATCGTTCCGGAAGAGATGTGTAAATCTTCAGTCCAGACTGCTTCCCGGCACTCCCATGTCATCTCGCCACCGAAGAAAATGACCATCCGGCGGGATAGTAACGCTGCTTGAAAGGTCCAGGCACGCGTGTTCCACTTCGATCTTGCGCGTTGGAGTGTGCCAAAGCCGCTCAATGAGACCGCGAGATGAAGATCTGGTTCCACTTCCTCTATGTCCTGCACAATGTTCCGCGAGACATCCTTCACACCTACAAGGCCAGCATCTGCGCCATCGCCATCGGCGGCAATGATTGTGAACGATGCGAAACCATATACGAGGTCCATATTGCGGATCTGATGCTCTTGGTCCTTTTTATCATTCTGTATGATGCAGAGAGCATCAACCCAGAGGTATCTCTGTCCGATGTCTCCCACGAGCTCCATAGCATCTGAGATTGTTCGAGGCAAGGGTGATGGCCCTTTATCCAGACCTTGCGGAAGTGAGGACATCTCAATGTTAGATTTCAATGTCAGCAGCATGGGAGTCGTGCCCCACATATAGCTCAGAGCTACGTACTCGCAATTCTTGGATACAGGAACAATGCAGCGGTCTTGGACATCAATAACTCGGAACCGAAGTTCTTCAAAGGATGAACGCGGCCATAAATGGTGACAGTCTTTGTGCCTGCTATTGCACGTACTGACCCAGTTGTTGTTATGTGTTAGCTCAGCCTGATGCTGCTTGACACGCCGTGTTCTCAGCGCCTTTGAGGCTTCATTCTCGTCTTGTCGTGACAGTAAGTTGATAGCCAATACTTTGTCGAAGTTGTATCCTGGATAGATGTACACTACACTTCTAAACTCCACCTCACCTTCCTGAACTTCAACCTTCGCCTGCATATTACAGTAGGGGTCCCAAGCCAATTTGGTACTTTTCTGTGCCTCCAAAGATGGATGGAATCGCCTAGTTCCGTGGAGTATCAAACAGCAGCAGCGGCATTTATTATGGGTGTTGAGAATGTGAGCAATGTTACAGAGAATGCTGTGGACTTGAATCTCTGAAAAGATGTCCTCCCACGAAGAACGCTTGACAAAGAATGCCTTACGAAAGTCTATCTTGCGACATTTCGCGCACATGGAATGATCTGGAGGTTGCTCAGCCATATCGTTTGCGGGTAAGACCGCCTGGTTTATGCAGCCTATCGGTTGAATTTATCTTCAAAAATGTACGATGAACTCGGAGATTCCAGGTTTGGATGGACAGTCTGAATGAGGTTCGATTTCTGCAGCAGCCAATACAATTCTATCCACGACACCCCCTGCTTACTGAAACAGGTCTCAAATGCCATTTTTAAACATGTTGCACGAAACCACACCTAGGATATGGTGCACTGCGGTTACTAAAAATATTCTTACGAGAAACACACTTTAGCTTCACAACGAAATCGGAAAGAAACTAGAGCTCTACTAAAATTCTTCCTGCAGATTGCAATTTGTAGCCTACTACGAATACTATGCAATCCCCCATCTGATCTTCAGCCAGCCAAAGCATTCTTCTAAATACCCAAAAAGACTTTGACTGAAGTAGGAGGTCGGCTGGTGTAAGCCTCTGTTCAAGTGTGGAAGAAAGTTAAAGAGAAGTGCCATAAGAAGGCTCTTAAAACAACTTACGCACCAGAAACTACTCGCTATGACCCCCCGGAATTCAAACCGTGACAATGACCTTCATCTCTCCCAGACATTACTTTTATCTCCGAAATCTCCAAACCTTCAATTATTAGCACCCCACAACAATAAAATCGCATACAAGGTCTTTCTTGAAGTTCACGAGTGTAAGTATCGTAATGAAATCACTACATTATGTAAAACCAATTCCAGACTTCAATCAGAACCCAACTATGTATATTCAATTACAGATCACTTTTGTAGTTTCACATTGAAAACAGACAGAGAAAGGATATAAGAGATGAACAATCTGCTTACCTACTTTACAGGAACCCTGACAACAAAGCTTCCCTTTCATATGAAAAGAGTGAAAAGAGTGTGGAAGTGATTCCAGAATAGGAGGTTTCTGGCTAAACAGAAGGATGCGGAAGAAGTCAATTCTGCAGTGTAACTAAAAAGATGACGACTCAGCCGTAGATCAATTGCACAACAACGAGAACAGGCAGGGCTAGATACAATCAAAATTTCATGTGTCGTAACAGATTACAGCCCTAATACGTGTACAGTACGCCCACGCAAAGTTCACAGCTAAGGAGTGTCTTTCAAGTGAGAAACATCTGAGCAAGCTCGTTGTGCACAACTACAAGGCTGGCCGATTGATCAGCGTAATAATACCCACTCCGAGGCTCCTTCCAACGTTAATATCATGGCTAAATTACAACCCACTCGTGCACTCAAATCTCATCGTACCTCGTCACGATGTGTCTCTGAAACCTCCCAACAAAATCGACTGGCTCCGCCATCGTGGCCCATCGGATCGCAGCTGCTGCTCAGATTCAATCTTAACCGCCGATCCAGTTTCTAGGAACGTAGGGAGGGAACTTGGGGAACTAGCGGGGCTGGCAGGTTGGGAACTCAGAACCCATTCCTCATAAGGCCCGCACTGATCCACATTCACATACATGGGGTGCTGAAGTTTGTTCACGGGTTGCCTCTCAATCCCAATTTTCAACCATCACTCTTGCTTCAAAGAACACTTTTTTGTTGACATACACAACAGCACTCAATGTACATGCTACTTTTGTTCACAGGAAGAATTTTTACAAATCAAAAAAATTACTCATTTTCTCAAACACAGGTATTATATAAACAAGAATTCATCATTGATTGTTTTCTTTGTACAAGAAATAAAATGTAAATCGGCTACATATTATTCTATTTTAGTAATAAGAAGTTTACTTACACACACTCTGTTGAAAGTATTGTAAAATTTTATTACTACATTTTTAATTTTAAAAATTCAAAAAACTTATTTAATTAAGTTTCTCTTTAAAATATTATTTTGTTATAACATATTATATAATTTTTTTAAAAAATATTATTCAAATTATAGAACATTTTATTTCAGGTTTTATGCATCTAAGTAGTTTTATAATTAAAACAAATGCAATAACTAAAATAGAATGGCAGTGAAAACCACCACTAAAACAAATCTTTATTAAATATAATGGTAAATACCACATATAAAATATCATCAAATCAAATCAAATCCTCATATAAAATGCTAAATGATATATCCACTCTTAATAAAAATCTAAATTTTAGAAGTTATTATAACGTTCAAAAATCACAAAACTCTTACAAGTTACTATAACGTAAAGCGTCAAGAAGGGAGCCTTTCAAAAGAGCCGATAGAACCGCATGTACCTTATCTGGTACCGCGACGCTCTGCTCATCGTCTGCGATCCAATGATGGACCCTCACTACCTTCCCTGTCGACTTCAACTCCACCTCAATGCTGCGGTCCCTACTCCGGAATATTCCCAACTTCTCGATGACATCCTCGCCAGACACGCCCAGAGCACCATGCACATCGTATAGCACGATCTTGGACAGATAGGGAATGACTTCCTCGCCTATCGGCAGGCCGGCTCCTAAATCGGCGTTCGGTCTCTGCTGCCAATTCGTCTTGTGGACGAGGAACCACTGCTGGTCCATGAAGGGTGCAAACCGCTTCTCCGGGTCGCTTTCGCACGCTTGCTTGTAGAATGCCAAATCCTGCTCCACCTGCACTCTGCGCAGATACGAACCGATGGGGTGGCCCGAGGCCTCCAACTCCACGAACACCTCCGAGCTTAAGGCTGCGGCAAAGGCAACCGCCTTCGTGTAGGTGTAGCTCGGGAGAGCATTTTTTTGTAGGAAGGAGTGCCATGCCCTCGCGGCTTCCCAGTTATAACGGTTGTTAGCAGCACTCCTATCTGGCTCCAGCTTGCCCTCGCTAGATATATAGTTGCCACCCTGCATGTGAACCTCCGCAGTGTAGTGTGCAACCAAATCAGGATAGGCGGATGCGAATTTGTGTATGTCTTGCAGCGATGACAGGCAGAGCAGGTACAACTTCTCGCCCTTCGCCTTGGCATGTTGATAGGCCTCGAGTAGAAGATCTTGCCCGTCTCGCTGAGGGACGTCTGCAGGCATCACGAAATCATTCCAACTGAATTCATATTCCAATTCCAGCTCTTCCTCTTCGTCGGGCTTCCCGCGCGTGCCTCTTCCTACTGGCACATTTTGCAGTCCTAGGGCATCGAGCCAGGCCCTGGCAAGCCGCGTCCTTTTATCTGCTGGCATCAGGTTGGCCACCACGGCACGCAGTTCGACATGCCCCAAGCGGTGAAATTCTTTGAGAACTAACAATGCAGCCGCATCGTCGTAGTCTTTCCCTACATCAGAGATGACCACAATGGGTCGAGGGCCCTGACCTCTCTCCTCACGCCCCTCGGCGACATGAATGAGCGTCTGATACACTTCGCATTGGCGCAAGGACAGTCCGTCAGGTATCCTGGTAGATACAATTTGTTAGATCACATCTTTGCACACGTCTTCGATACAACCGGAACAAACCCTAACAGTGCTTTTTTCACATGCGGGATAAAATGAAGGGTCAAACTTCAGTTCACGGCACACCCTCCGCCCACTACACCTTCGCCGACTGGGGTGGGCGACAAAACAACCCCTCAATCTAGACTCTCGTTCACTTCACAATTTAACCGTGTACACAGCTTCAGCCCGTAGCAGTTTAGAATGTGGTGTGTTTGCGAAACTCACGTGCAGCGCCTGGTACTCGACGCGGCCATGGTCTTACTCACCTTCACCAACGCCGTACGGGTAGCGGCAACCCAGCAAACCAAATGAATAATTAAGATGCTCATTCACATGATGTTGCGGGCTGCCGGAGCTCTCCGCCCTCCGCCTGCAAAGCCGGTTACTCCCTGCCCCTCCACATTCCTCCTCCTCTCCCCCCCCCCCCCACATTCCCAAGAATCTGTTTAACGGCCACGATCAAATCTTGTGATATGAAGGGCTGAGAGTATAATTTCACAATTGGACTATTTGTGATGCTCACAATTACTAATAAAGTAAAAGCAGTTGTGCAGATATATTCTCCATCTCATGTATAGTTCAACTAACTAATTAATTATTGACAAAGTTGCAAATGCTGGTCGTGCAGCGGCCCACAGTGGTTAATATGCCAGTGCAAACGCTACGGATAAGGTTGAAGACGTTGTCACTAGCTGCATGAGCTCCCCCCGGCGTTGCAACGGCCACGATCATCAAATCTTGTGATATGTGGCTTTAACAAGTCTTATATATATATATTTGTAATTTATTCTAAATTTGATTGAATAAATTGAACAACTTATATTCAACTCCGACGAAGTCCAATAATATCTATTGAAAGCTAAGAATCTTTGTTAAAATCTTAATATATGCATTTGATGTGCAGACTAAAAATCCAAAAAATAAAAAAAATCAATAATACAAATTAAAAATATATTTCATAATCTAAAAATAAAAATAAAAAGTTCTTTATTATGAATCTTGTACTTGATTTTGGCTGCTAAAAGTTTTTTAGAATGAAAAGCCAATAAGTGAAATTTATCATCTATTCCCATTTGTGATAATACAGTATTCAAGGCAAATTTTGATGTGTTTATTTCCATAAAGAATGGCTTAGAAAAGTTGACATGATATATGATTGATGCAAAAACAAAGGTTGTCTTCAAAGCTTCAAATGCTGCTTTTGCTTCTTCATTCCAATGAAGTTTGTCTTTACAAATCAAATGTATAAGTAGAACTACAATTTGAGAGAAGTCCTTAATGAATATTTGATAATAGTTGGCAAATCTAAAAAACCATTAAATATCTCTTATCGTTTTTGAGATCTTTCAATCTATAATAATTTGAATTTTCTCAAGATCCATCATAAGTTCATCATTTGAAATAATATATCATAACAAGTTGACTTGAGTAGTATAAAATACATACTTTCTTAACTTGGCATAGAGCCTTATATTGCTTAATTTTTGTAATTCACTATAAACATAAAATACATGTTCTTTTGTATTTTTAAAATAGATTAAGATATTATTTAGATAACAGATAATATAATTGTTCAAAAACTCTTGAAAGACATCATTCATTGCATGTTAAAAAGCTATTAGTACATTTGTAAGTTCAAAAGACATGACATTATATTCAAATACTTTATACAAGGTTCAAAATGTAGTCTTCCATTCATTCCCTTCTTTTATTTATATTAAATTATATATCCTTTATTGATCTAATTTCGTATAGATCTTAGTTTGATTCAACTCATCAAGATGTCCAAATATGATAGATAGTGGATACTTATTCTTGATAGTGATCTTGTTGAGTCCTTGATAATTGTAATTGTCATTTTACTTATTATACGATTCGTTTTAGAATAAACTTGTGTAGGGGAATTCGAACTCAAGGAAAGACTAAGTGCATAAGCTTACAAGTTAAGGTCACTCAATTAACTATAATCCAAACCACTAAAACACCAAGAAACACTATAATGCTTCCTTTCAGTAACAATACTCCTTCATCAACTGATAACCACAATGTGCAATCTTGCACTCTTAAAAGACTGCTCAAAACTCAATAAATTCCATCCAACACTAGGAATAACAGACTTCACTCCAACCAATCTGAATTCACAGAATTTCTGTAATCTCAAACTTCCTCTGTCCAAAACACACACAACTCTCAAAAAACAACAATCATAATCTTCCATCCATAATCGATCTTCCAATAACTTCTCATATAATTCAATCACTTAATACTCCAATTACATAATCAATAACTCATAAATCAATCTCTCATTTATTCCACAGACTCACTTCTCAGTATTCAGAAACTATCCATTATTCTTCAACAACAAAGAAACAAAAAGAAAACAAAGAGGTAGCACCAAGCTTAACCTCGGCTCATGACTATTTTTAGTTTGGTACCCCAACAAACTTCTACAATTCCTATATAATTGCTATTGATTTCCAGATTCTAACCGTAATTCAATAATAATCACTTTTAATAACTAAATTAACTATTTGTTCTCTTCAACCGACTATTCTATGGACTATTAATCTATTTTATTAATATCTTACAAAAACGAACTAATATCTATTCTACAATAATCAACACACATCTATAATAATGAATTTTTTTTCTTCACAAATAAAATTGGAGCTCCTATTGGAGATTTAGAATGACATATGAAGTTCTTGGCTAGATTCTCTTCAATATACTTTTTAAATTCAGATAATTCATTTTGTGATTAACTATAGATTAGTCCAAGTAGCAATTACATTTGTTCTTGAAATTCAATTGAACAGTTATAAAAATGATATTTTAGACAAGTATCTGCATTCTTCTTGTCAAATATATCTTTAAAATATTGATATTAGCTACAAATACCATTTGAAGTCTTTCTACCATTAGAAACAAGTGTGGCATAAATGACACAAGGTGATTCTTTTTTTATAGTATACAAAAAATCTCTTGCACCTACAAATATAGATTTGATTATATTAGACTTATGAATTTTTATTTGATTAATTACATTCTTAGTTATATTTTTAGAAAATTTAAGATTACAAAAAATCTAATTTATTCAAGAATTGTATTTTTTTAATCACAATAAGCTTAAAATGACTAGATTAAAAGAAAATTCTAATTGATATTGAATACCACAAAGTGTCACGGACACAAAATACAGACTTGAAATCTAACAAGAAGTTCAAGAAGAAGTGGCAGAACTAGATTAAACAGATGAGTACAAGAACAACACCAGAAAGGTGAGCTAGAACTCCAAGAGATGTGTTGTCGAGACTGAAGAATCCTTCAGCCTCGACTCCTATATATACTACTGAATAGGAAGCTTCTCGAGCTACTTCCGCTAACTAGGACGCTTCTCCAACAACTTCTACTAATTAGGAAACTTCTCGAGCAACTTCCTAGAATCTATCAGAATATTCTAGAACCTTCTAAGAATATTCTAGAACCTTCTAAGAGAATCTTTAGAGAATATTCTAAGAATCTTCTAGAACCTTCTAAAGGAATCTTTAGAGAATCTTTAGAGAATATTCTAGAAGAATATTCGAAGAATCTTCCAATGTATGTCCATGACATCACCTCCTCTTCTAACTTCGAGGTCTCCGAGAAGCAATGTTGTTATCAGTCAATACCAACGCAAGAAAATGAAAATCTGTCGCATCACATCCGCTATGAATTCCAATTGTTGTTCGCGAGGCAAATGATTCATCGGCCCTTGGAGCCAACGGTAGTGACCAACACCTTCAACCTCTGACCAAGCGTGGACTTCTATGTCTTCATTGTGAAACTGTCCTCCAAACACACCTTCTGGCTGACCGTCGTAGGCAGGCTCGACCTCAAATACAATTACTAGCGATCTGTTGCTCGCTATCCTCCGACGTCGTCGTGGTGCAGGCGGTTCTTCATCTCGCGGTCGTTTTCGTGAGCTAGTCGCTTGAGATGACATAACAAGTGTAGTATCTTGACTATCTATGTCCAAAGGCTAAAATGATGAGATCAAACTATAGTTGCTAACAAAGTTCTACACTATCGAACTATGGGTTTTGGAGGTGCCCTCCCCCCCTTTTTATGCTACTTGATGAGCAAGCTTCAGCAAGAAGCTATCGTTGAATCGGCTTAGGTTTATGAGGATATCGTTGATGAAATTCTTGTACCTTTTTTGGTGCATTGGCAAGATTTTCGGCACGCTCCCACGTTCGTTCATTGATGTCGTATCCACTCCAATGCACTAAATACTCCAATTTTCTCCTATTACGCCGTGAATCTAGTACCTTTTCCACCTCGTATTCCTCATGGTTTTCAATTTCGATACTTGGTGGCGGACTTTGTACTCTTTGGGGAAAAGCTGACTCTCGATAAGGTTCCAACAAAGACACGTGAAAGACTGGATGTACCTTCATAGTAGCTGGTAACTCCAGACGATATGCCACCGGATTGATCTGCTTCCCGATAACAAATGGCCCTAATCTCCGGTAGTCCAATTTGTCACATGGCCGCTTGGTCTTGATATTCCGTCGAAGAAGCCATACTTTACTTCCAACTTTAAAAGCAGGCGCCTCATTTCGATATTTATCTGCAGATGCCTTGTAACTCTCTTGGGCAGATTGCAATTGAAGCTTCAACGTCGCTTGAAGCTCCGATAGTTGCTTCACAAATCCTTCAGCTGTTGGGTTGTTATTTGCTGAAGAACTCAATAAATCGAGCTTGGGGTGGTATCCGTAGTTGGAGAAGAATGGTGTTTGTTGAGTTGACGCACGAAGAGTGTTGTTGTATGCAAACTCAGGAAGCGGTAGATATGCAGTCCAATCATCTTGTTGATAGTTGATGCTGCATCGTAAATATTGCTCCAAAACTTGATTCACCCGCTCCGTTTGACCGTCAGTTTGAGGATGAAAAGTCGAAGAGAGCTTAATATCCACCTTCAATATCTCAAAGAGGGACCTCCAAAACTTGGATACAAACTGAGTACCTCGATCCGACACGATATCATCTGGTAGGCCATGATAACGATATATGTTATCAAGAAAGAGTCTTGCGGTGTCTTCACTTGACAATGTTTTCTTGCAAGGCACGAAATGCGCCATCTTTGTAAATCGATCCACCACAACAAAGATGCTGTCAAATGAATTCGATGGCGGTAGGTCCGTAATGAAGTCCATAGAAACTGAAGACCATGGTCGGTGCGGAATAGGCAATGGCTGGAGGAGTCCATACGGACGATGTCGAGGGATCTTGGATCTTGAACAAACATCACAAGTAAGGACAAATTCCTTCACATCCTTCCACATTTGGGGCCACCAAAAATCTCGTGAAATGAGCTCCAAAGTCTTGTTGAATCCAAAATGTCCTGC